AAGCGGCGAAATCTAGGTTGGTACCTACCTCCAAGTTTACACGATTCAATCTGGAAAAAAAATCCGCCATAGCTAAGGTTTCATAAAACGTCAGCAGTACTCCGGAAAGTGGAAACCGTTAAAATTAGCACGATGAATATCGATATAGGCGGAAGTCAAGTGCCTCCATGATAGATCGCGACACCTGATGTCTGAAGACAATTGAAAAAAAAACGGCACAAGAACACGATTAAATTCAGAGAAGCAGATGAATCCGCGAGAGGCTCATGTATAGTGCTATCGGCACGTCAAGCATATGGAAAACCGAAAAAAGAAAATATCAATCTGCACCGAGGATAATCATTGCGACTTCTAATCGTTCGCAATGAGTAGAGATAGAAGTTCGGCATAAATAGGAGGACAGAGCGTAACACATCTAAAGAATTCATTTGAACCACTATTGAAAAACTTGTCAGTCTCGGTGGGATTTTAACCCACGCCAGCAAGGGGAAGGCTTCAGTACAGTCAATGCTCTAGCCAACTGAGCTACGAGGCTCCCACCGGAAGCCGGGAGTTCATCCCAGTTGGGTTGATTTCCCCGCCCAGCCTACTGCAACGTGTGGAATCTACCAATTTTGATACAGTAAGCTGACTGCCCAAGCAGGAGTTTCTAAACAATCAATTTGCAATCAACCAGACGATTATCAGGCAGGCTTACTTAATAATGGAAGAAGTGTATAAAGGTGTACACGGTGAAAGCAGAGGACTAAATACCTGTGACGACAGCCTCTGGCAGTAGGTCTGTGGAGATGAAGTGAGGAGCGCGAGCTGCCCACTCTCTAATAGCAGAGTCCGTGAGTGAGAGGTCTGCCTCTGGCCGTCGGATGGTTAGTACGGAGACCAGGAAAGAACGATTAAGGACGAAGATCTGAAGATTGGGAAGCTCAAAGGCCTTATCGGACAGGTCGTCAGGGGCGTCAAGCATGGAGGGTTGCATCTTTAGCGGTTCTAACTCCGCACGGTCGTGGTGCTCCTGCACCAGAGAATTGATCAAATCGCCCGTAGAAGACTACAAAATCAAGAGGTTTCGGATTAACAAGCAAGAGTAGGAAGACAGGAAAAGATAGATAGGAAGAATTGCGGTAACTGTTCGTAGTTAAACAGTCTGCCTCTGCAAGAGGCATGAACACATCCTAGTTCAGTGCTCAAATCGTCCCACCAGACCAATGGACTGCAGGTGATTTCCATTTGCCACGGAAAAAACAACCCTCTCTAGGTAACGACAAGTTTCATCTTTAAGATGTCAAGAGACCTACATAACAGAGACCATTTCATAAATTTTGCCCACAAGTGTATACATAATGCTGTTATATGCAGTGCAAAAACACACATGGAATTTTCCCAATCGATTACTGAGAGAGGACAGATCATCATGATAAAAACAGGCGGGTTAAAGGGCGGAAAAGAGCCAAAAATGCCGATAATAATGACCAGAGGGTCTTGAAAGGGCCGGTTTAACAGCTGGCATTAAGACATGAGTGATTTTGTCAGTCTCCGATTAATAACTGTCTCCTCCTTTCGAGCGTCC